CGGGGGTAGTAGGGGTGAGGGGGCTGGTCGGTGGGTTGAGTGATAAAAAAAACCTTTAAAAAATTAATTTTTGTAATAAAAAAACAAACTATTTTTTTGTTTACATTTTTTTTGGGATGGGGGTAGGGGGTTGGTTGATAAAAAACATTTTTAAAAATTTGTTAAGGATTTTAACAAAATCCCTACTATAATATATGTATCCATATTTATCTATATTATCGATTGAGTAACTCGTTTTTACCCATTTAAAATATGAGTCGAGTGGAGTACTTTACCCATTTTTCTTTAGCTCATTTCGATCTATTCATATTCGACTCGATCTGCTTGTTTGCCACTCCTAGTCTATCCTAATGCAAATACTATTGAACCGATAATGAAGAAGCTAATTTAACAACTTTTTGTTCGGTTTTAAAAAGTGTGAATAAAAAATGAAGAGTTATGACTTTTATGAAGTTGTGGCTTTTATGAAGAATTACAATTTTCCGAAAAGATTGTGATTTTTTTGAAGGGTTGGGACTTTTCGAAAAGATTGTGATTATTCTAAGGATTGTAACTTTTCTAAAAGATTGTAACATTTCCAATAAGACACAATAAACACTTGTTCACACTATTATTTGTTGTCTATAAAAAGATTGATTTCCTCTTATTTTTAAACGAGTTTTCTCTATTTTATTCAAAGGGAAAAATGACCTCCTCCTTTTATAGCCGAACCTGCTAACTACTTTTTGTTTTGTACAAACAAATTTTAGTGTACTTTATTGCATTTGAGTGGTTCGTTGATACTATGATTTTAGGTACCAATACACCGATAAGTAAGATCGTAATTTCTTTAAAAAACATTGTGTATGGAATAATTTCTATATACAACTTTACCGTGATTTCAAGGATCCAAAAAAGGAAAAAAGAACCCACCATGGAACTATTTAACCCAGAGAAGGAAGTACTGTGTACATCATATGGATTACATAAAATGAGCCTGCATAATCAGTTCTTTCAATTAGAAATAAAGTAAAATCAACTCCATGAAGTACAATCCAAAAATAGAATTAAAGTTGGATCATAACAGAATGAATAGATTGAGTTATCAACAAAATGAAAGAAAAATCCATTTAGGAGGCAACTAGTATCTTCACAGATGGAAAATAATTAAATTTATGATACATTTGGTGAGTGCAATCAATGGCAAAGGGAACGCAAAATATAAAGAAGTAAGCATACGAAAAAGATTAGGGATCCAACATATAGAAAAAAAACTAATTTTGACCTTATATATATACCATGCAATTTTCCAGCAAAGAGTTTTGGATGAACCTCCTCCGGGTTCCTACCCTGGGTGCAACATTGTGATGAACAAAATAAAAATGATTACATCCCATCAAGTTTTGGAGCCTCTCAGGATTACTCTTGAGCTGTTTACACCAATCAATCATCACTTTTTGTAATCGGCGGGATTTTGAGTGATCGAGTTGAGAAAAGCCACCAACACAATGCATAGTTTCCCCAGTCCAGCTTGAAGATGTTCACTTTTCGTAGCTTTTTTAGCGTCTGCAAAGGGTTCTTTTATAGTCGATTCTTGACTAAGGTGAGCTTGATGAGATTAGGAGTGAAATTGCTCAAAGCTAGGTAACTTGCTTGGTGAGAAAAAAAGACATCCAAGTGCATTTAAAGAAGATTTGGATAGCCTGACATAACAAATTTTCCACTCAAAATGGCATGTGTAGTGTCATTAGATAACTGAAGATTGTCAAGCTTCTTAAGGATGTATGGTTTCTCTAGAGGCACCTGAAACTGCCAATTTTCTTGTATCGGGACCAATTTTGCGTAACCACTTGGGGTTACAGTAGCATACATTCCTTCTCTCAAAAACCCAATATCCAACACAAAGTCGAACAAACAAAGACAGAGCACCTTACCTCTACCTTTGCGGGATAAAGAGGTTGTTTCCAATAATTATACTAGTTATTAGTCATACATCATTATAAATTTAATAATTTCGAATATGCAAACAGAGCCAAGTATAACAAATAGATGTGTAGTAGTACTACTATTTGTCATAGAACCACAGAAGATAGTAGTGTAAAGGATCCCAAGATTACTGAACCTTAACAAAATGAAGCACTTTCAAATTTTGATTGCAAAAATACCAAGACATACTACATTGACATGACAAGACATACATACCCTCTTTTAATACAACCAACTTTTTTTTTCTTTCTTATGCCGGGGGCGCCCGATTATGGACCTCCCTGCTGTAGTACTACATTGGATCCCCATAAGTGGAACAGAAAGCTATTCATGAGATTAACCCAAAACTAAGACTAACAACCAAAACATAAACCCAAACCCAAAAACCTTGACTCTGCTAGACGCAGACAGCTCAACCCTCACATCATCCACAACAGGTCCACAAAGAGAGCTCATATCATCACTTCTTGTATTGTAATATATACTATAGAACGCGATACGTGTCCTGTCCGCCTTGGCCGTGAAATTCAGGTTAGCATTCTGAAATGAAGAATTGAAATTGGGAGTGTAATGGATGTTTTGAGCTTGATCACCGGCAAAGGCCATAATTGCTAGTGGTTCCTTGCATGAATCCCCTGCATGGCCAAACAAAAATGTCAATCTGTATGGCTTATTAGGCTTGGTTTCAACCATCTGGGATATAATGCCTTCTTTTCCTGAAAGCAATTCTATTGCTCTCTTCCCTTCTGGAACTGTGAAGTGATATGTATCGATGTATCGAACTGCTCGATTTGATTCAACTATCCAACCAGGGAGCGATGATGTTTCCTCGTCGAGGTTGGTTGGAAGAAGAACACCGAGAGAAGTATTCCTAAACATCCATGGACCTTCTTCAAAGTCTCCATTAAGTACTGCATTATCTGTTCCAATAACCAATTTAAGTAACAATTAGCTGTTATAACTACACGAATGTTGTGGATATCAAAGTTCAAACTGTGTCGCATAAATTAAAACCAACTATTTTGACCAAAACAGGATAAACAGCTGGAAGTGGAGCCCAATAAAGAAACAGAAATGACCTTACTTTTTGACTTAGCTGGAACGAAAAGCTTCTTGATAGCAATATCATCAATAATGGGTCCACAAGTGGGGTCATCTTCCATGCCAGGATTTGTAAAAACGACCCGCACGTCATCTTCTTCAGCCTGAAAGGCCCACGCGTAGGAATCCCAGCCCTGAACATTATACAGAGTTTGAAGATCAATGGTCTGTGAGGCCGGAGGAACTGAAACGTTGAGTGACTCTAGCTGAGCGCACGTGCGAGCCGCGCTGAAAGTGATTGAGTAAATGGAGCCTTTCTCTACTTTGAGCTCTTGGCTTATCTCGGCGTCGTTTCCAAGCCGAACTGCGTGTCTACCTTGTGGTACGATGAGGATCATTCCACCCTGTTTTTGCCCGGATTCCACTACCTCTACTGTGCCGTTTGATTTCCAGCTGGGGATTTCGGATGGCCCGTCGGAGAATCCGTCGCCGGAAGAGAAACCGCCTGACGGCGGGGTCTCAAAATTACCGTTAACTAACGAGCCTGCAAAAACACAAGGTTGGATTGATAATTAAGTAACGATGCGCTACAAATTATAGAAACATACAAAGCGATTTAATTAACAATGCTTTTACCTATGCAGTAACATCTGAGTCGAAAATAACTTCTAAATAGGGGTAAAATTTTAGTAAAGTCTATCTTCGTATATCGTACTAGTAAGATTTTCACGGGAAATGTTGTTATTGGTTTGTTTCACTTGTGCAGTACCAATTCGTCGGAATTTTGATTTAGGGTGTGTTTGGTAGGAAGAAAAAATGTTTTACTGAAAATAAATAGATTTTTTATTTATTTTCTCATGTTTAATTGGTGAGTAGAAAATATTTTTCGAAAAAGATTTTTTAGTATTTGATTTATGAATGAAATTATATTTTAGAAAATATCTCTTTTATCGCTAGAGTAGAAAATAATTTTTGAATTGAAATTGATTTTTAAAAATAAACTTAAATTTTTTTTGGGGATGGTAGAGGTGAAGATGAGGTAAAAAAAAAAATTTTAAAAACAAGCTTAATATTTTTTTGGGGGTGGGGGAGTCACGGATAGGATTGGGGTGGGATGAAAAAATAAATATTTGTAATTGAATTTTTTTTTTAAAAACAAACTTTAATTTAATTAATTTATTTTTTTGGGGAGG